CTTAACCCACCCTTTTATAATTGGTGATCCTACATGGAGAAGATTTAATACTCTTTTTATGCCAGAACCAATTAACCTTTAATATTAAAATTTGTCAGAAAGTGTCCATACTGAATGAAGATATTTTCAATAAAAAGTAAATTATTAAAAAATATATTTGCACATCACACATCTCAAAAGAGGCTAAAATCCAAGATTTATAAAAGAACTTAAAAAACAAAAATAAAGCAAAAATGTGATCAAATAATGAGCAGGAAAGCAAAATATACTCCTCCAAAGAAGATATACAGATGGCTAACAGGCACATAAAAAATGTTCAGTATTAATATCTCAGGGAAATTCAAATAAATATCAAAATGAGATACTACCTCATTCTGGTAGCAATGGCCAATATAAAAAAAGCAGAAACAACAAATGTTGTCAAAGGTGTGGAGAGAAAGGAATCCTTGTACACTGTTGGTGGTCCAGTCTCTATGAAATACAGAATGAAAGTGCATCAAAATCCAGTCTCTATGAAATAACAGAATGAAAGTGCATCAAAAGTCTAATATGTGGCACAGCAATTCCTCTCTTATCTATCTTTTAAAGAATGCAAAAAACATTAATTTGAAGGGATATCTGCACTTTTGTATTTATTGCAGCACTATTTATAATAGCCACACTACAAAAGGAACTTAAGATCAGAAGAATGGACTAAGAATGTAAGGTATATCCACATGATGAAATACTGTCTAACTTTAAAAGCAATGAACACTTGTTACTTGGTAAAACAATTGTGGAATTGCATGGGATAAGCTAAGAGAAATAAGTCAGAATGACAAAGAAGAACATTGGATGATTTCACTAACATGTGGAATACAGAGACACAAAACAAAAGAACTGACAAAACTAAATATAGATCCTAGGAATTTGAGTGAACAGTTGAGGCTACCAGAGAAGGAAGGATGGTTGACAGAGGAACAAAGAAGGAGAATCCCATAGTATATGATAAAGGGATATGAGTGTTTTGGTTGTGGGTATGATGTGGTAACATACATCTGAGGAGGTGTGAACCTTTTCCTCTGAACCATACACAGTGTTATAAGTCAACGTTAACTCAATAAGATAAAGATGCAGTACTCCCTCAACACACACATATGCAAAACTTCAGACTCAGCACACACATATGCAAAAGTAGAAACAACATAAGATGAACTTAACAAATCCACTCCAAATACCGTATAATTAAAATGCCAAAAGTGAACAGTAAAATCAAAACAAAAAAGAAAAATCATATGATCATATCAATAGATGCAAAGAAAGAATCTGTCAAGATTCAATATCCATTTTTATTATAAAAACTCTATCATATGAAGGACACATGATAGTATACACAAAAATCTCCAAGATGATATTACCATGGAAACAATAAATCAGTAGACTACAAAAATCAAAATATAAAAATAAGGTTTTTTCCTATATGTAAACAGCAAACTACAAAAAAGATATTTTTAAACATCCATTTACAATTGCCTTAAAATGATTAAACGTAACAGAAAAGGTGAAAGGCCAATATGATGGGAACCCTCTACTAACAGAATGTGAAGACACAGAAAAATAGAAAGCTATTCCTTCCTCAGGGAATGGAAGAATTATCATTGGAAAATGGCCAAAAGTATATAGTTTCAATACAATCTTTATCAAAATTTCAATGACATTATTCAAAGACATAGAACAACATTAGTGAACTTTATTTGGAACTACAGAAGATCCCAACAAGGCAAAAACAATGCTGACAAAGACTAGGAATGGTGGCATCATACTTCAAACAATACTAAAAAGCAATTATAGTCAAAACATCATGGCATTGGAATAAATGTAGACACAGTAATCAATGGAATAGAATTGACATCCCATAAAATAAACTGTATCTATATGAGTAGATAATCCATGAACTAAGAACCAAGAGTAACAATGAAGAGAGAAATTTTTCTTCAAAAATGGTTGGTAATATGCGGAAGAATGAAATTACACCACAATTCCACTCCATACACAAAACTTAAAATAAAGACTTGGATGTAAAACCTGAAATCATAAAATACATAGAAGAAAACATAGGTAAAACATTTCATCATATTGATTTTAGTGATATCTTTGGGGACAAAATTCCAATAGTAAGGTAAATGAAAGAAAAAAATTAAAAATGGGAATAAATCAAACTAAATCTGTGCAAAGAAAGAAATTATAAATTATTTCAATGAAGCAGTTACTTTAATAGTGCCAAGCTAGGATGGCTGAGATATGCCTGATGATAAACAATAACCAAAACTGATTTTCCACTGTGATAGTCCTTACCTTTAATTTAATTTCCTATTCAATCACTCAGTGTGGCCTCATTGGCAACAAATGCAGTGAATTTTGTGCCTTGAGGGGATGTGATGAACTAACAAATTATGTCAAGTTCAAGGGAAATGCAGCAAGGGACACAGTAAATATGAGATGCATGAAGTTACGCTGGTATGAAGTCTACAGAGTTCTGCTGATTATAACACAAGGAGGATACAGGGTCCAGAGAGAATCGCCATAGAATAACCTGCTGTTAATCTAAATAATGCTAAGTGGCACATCAGTGTGTATACAAGAGAAAGCTACTCAGCATGAGAAAAGAATGAAATCCTCTTATTTGTGATCACTTAGATGGATCTTGAGGATGGTAGACTAAGTGATGTAACAGAGAGGCAGACAATACAATATGATTTTACTCGGATGTGGAATCTAAATAAAGAATACAAACTAATTAAATTGAATTAAAATTATAAATACAGAAAATATATTTTGGCTACCAGAAAGAGGAAGATTGAAGGTGGGCAAAATGTATAAAGAGAAATAGGTCTTTAAAAACCCAGTTACAAGGGCTTATCCTGGTGGTGCAATGAGTTAAAGCATTGCATTATGGAGCTCTCTGAAGCCCCTGCAGCACGAGTTCAATCCCCCACCAGGGAGCTTACCCACATGGTGTGGCAGACCTCTCCTGGCCTGCCTGCTGTTTCCCTCAACAGTGTACTTGATCAGTCGGCCTGTTCTGCTCCCCACTCTGTTTCTGGTGAATCCTTTTACCCACCACACCTCTGGCCTGTACCCCTGTTCTGTAGCATAAATAAATAAATCTGAAAAAAAAAAAAACCCAGTTACAAAATAAACAAATCAAGGAGACATTGTGTACAGCTTGGTATTTTTGTCATCAATATGGTACCACATATTTGAACATACTATGAAAAAGGTGATAACTAGATTTTGTGATAATCATTGCACCTTACATACAAATGTAAAATGATTATGTGGTACACATAAAACTAAAATAATGTGTGTCAATTACCATCAATGAAAAAATTAATACCATAATGTGATAAAACTTTGCACAAACAGGAATGGCTATCTTAAAAACTAGTCAGGAAGGCCCATGTCAGGAAGACCAGAAACATGTATTTGCAAAATTGTGGAGAAGAATAAACTCTTTTACGCCCTCAGTGGGAATGTGGAATACAGTATGAAGTTTACTCAGAAGAGTGAAAATGGATCTGCCACATGACCTAGAAATCCCACTTCTAGGTATTTATCTAAAGAATATAAAAACACTAATTCAAAAGGAAACTTACATTCTTGTATTTATTCCAACACAACTTGCAATAGCCAAGATACAGAAACAAAGTAAGTGCCCAAAATCTGATGAGTAGTTCAAGATGTGGTATGATAGTCAATGGAATACTACCCAGTGAGTAAGAAAGATAAATTCATATGACCTGTGGCACATGGATGGAGCTGAAAGGGATTTTTCAAAGTGAAATAAGCCAGAAGAATAAAGATAAATACCAGAAGGGTCAGACAATGACAAATTTTAAAATAACACTTGAAAGTAGAACATAGAACTAGGACTCTAGAGTAGGAGGGAAAGGGCATGAGAAGAGGTTGGGGAGAGAGTGCAATGCATCACAGTGGATGAACTGGCTGTGTAAGAGATGGGTGTGCTACAGTGACCATATCTAGAGGGGGGATCCTATGCTTCCAAAGCAATAAAAAATGTAAAATAATGTTAACTTCAATTAAAAAAATAAAAGTACGGCCCTCCCTGGTGGCACAATGGGTTAAAACACAACATTAAGAAGATAAGCATGAGTTCGATCCCGCCCTGGAGGTGATCCACATGGTGTAGTAGACCTCTCCTGACCCCCCTATGGCTCCCCTAAGCAGTGTATTTCATTGATCTGCCTGTTCTGCTCCCCACTCTGTCTCTGGTAAATTCTTTCACTACCCCTGTACCCCAGTTCTGTGTGCATAAATAAATAAATCTTTAAAAAATAAAAATAAAATAGAAAGTGTGTTGGCAATAACATGAAATAGTTGGAAACTTGGTGTTTTACTGAGGAGAATGGGAAGTGGCACAGCTGTTATAAGACACAGTGTGGTCGTTCATGAAAAACTTGAAGAATGTTCACGTGGCCAAATCATTTCATTTCCAGTTAGATACCTAGTTATAATGTTAAAATAATTGAAAGCAAGGACTACAAACAATAATTCTACATCAGTGTTCTTATCAGCATTATTCACAATAGCCAAAAAGGGGAAACAAACCAAACATTCACCAACAAATAAATGGTTAAACAAAACGTAATAAATACATACAGCAGTATATTCAGCAGAAAATAGATGAAAGTCTGATATATGCTACAAGAAAATCCACAGAGTATCTACTTTCATCTGAAAGAAGTAATTGTTACATCTTTATTCCTCTGGCCCTACCTATAAAATTATAAAAAATAAAATTCTTATATTATTAGTATATTACTGAAAATTCAGGCAATGAGATCTGTTTTTTATTCTAATGTTAAATAATATAACTAGAAGTCAAACATTAAAAGATACAGTAAAAGAGGGTGCTTATGATGCATGAAAAGTTAGACTAAATTCCCCTTGTTTTTCATTCTTTCATGAGACAAAGAATCCTTTCCTGAAGAGAATGTCTTTCATGTAAAGAGTTTTTCTAGGGATTGCTTCATATTTCTGTTCCTCAGACCATAGATGAAGGGATTCAGCATTGGAGTCACCACAGTGTATATCACTGAGGCTATTGCACCATTCCTGGGATTTTCAGTAGCAGCAGAGCTGAGATACACACCAAAGGCTGTACCATAGAACAAGGAGACAACTGAGAGGTGAGACCCACAGGTGGAAAAGGCTTTGTACTTGCCACTAACTGATGAGATTCTCAAAATGGAGGTTATAATCTTGTAGTAAGAGAAGAAAATGCCAGTTATTGGAATAGCACCTATAATTCCAGTGGAAAAATACATGACTATATCATTTAAGAAGGTGTCAGAACAAGCGAGTCGGATCACCTGATTAAGTTCACAGAAAAAGTGAGGGATTTTTAAATCTGTACAGAAAAAAAGTTGTAAAATCATTAAATCTTGCAATAAAGACACAAGAGCACTCAGTAACCAGGAAGCCAATAGGACACCACAGAACTTGGGGTTCATGATGACCATGTAGTGCAGGGGATAGCAGATGGCCACAAATCGATCATAGGCCATCACTGTCAAGAGGAAGCTGTCTAAGCCTCCAAAAAGATGGTAAAAGTATATCTGGGTGAGGCAGCCTTCATAGGTTATGATTTTGCTCTGAGTCTGGATGTTCAGCAGCATCTTTGGGATGGTGGTGGAGGTGAAACAGATGTCTACAAAGGAGAGGTTACAGAGGAAGAAGTACATGGGTGTGTGAAGGTGAGGGATAGTGATGATAGCCACTATAATGAGGAGGTTGCCAGTGAAGGTGGCCAGATACATGGACAGAAACACTCCAAAGAGGAAAGGCTGCAGTAATACCTCTTCTGAAAGTCCCAGGAGGATAAATTCTGAAACATGTGTTTGATTTTCTCCATCCATGTAGCTGTTATAACTGATAAAAAAGAAACAGAAAGAGTGAAAATTTAGATACAATCAGCATTTAACAACAGAGATGTTGCTTGATTTTGTATTATTTGGTTATATCTTGTATATTATCTTTAGATTTGTTGCTTTTTAACTGAAAAATCAGGGAAT